GCCATTCTTGTACATCACGTACTGATCCTTATAATCGGTGCCCTCTTTTACCCATCGATGGTATGCCTGAATACCAACAAAGTTGTCGTCTTTGGACACAAACTCACAAATACTATGGCTTTGAACGTTATTTAGGAACAGAATTAGCACTAAAACTAAATTCATATTCAAATCTAAATCACAAACGATTACAAAAGATAATCAAAAGTCTTGTAATAAACTCTAAAACTGACAAAAACTCAAAGAAATGTGAAATAACTGACAAAATATTCCTCAAAATGCACTTAATATTCAAATTGTATAAAAACTCATGTTTTTTAATTGTTGTCAACATTTCTATCCTATATATTAATTAAATTCAATAATTACAACACAACACTAATTTTATTAAATCCTTGGTTCCTTGATATGAATACCATATTATTGATTGTCATTTAGTCTAAAATGATTTAAAATTACAATTAATAAAATCAGAACTTTTTGTTAACTAGTTTAAAACATTTATGAAAATTTTAATTAAAATTTCTACTCATGGACAATTACTACTATTAACGCCTTTATTAACCAATTTACAAACTTCTAAAAATAATTAAAAATTCAAATAATATGTAAAATAACAGTCAACATATTCATCAAAATTTATTGAAATTATCAAAAATTTTGTGTTTTAACACTAAATTAAGAAAACAAAAATGTAATAATAAAAACATATTTATTTGACAAAAATTTATAAAATTAAATAAGAAATACAACACAAGAATGGATAATAAAAAAAATGTTGATTTAAAATAAATAGACATTTAAAAAACATGGGAAACATTTGAAACTAAATAAAATAGCAATTTTGGAAATGAGTTTTCAAATACTTTTCAAACATTAGTGTCTCTACGGGTCTATACTTTTGTTGGGATCAGTTAAAGGAGTGGTCGCTTCTTTGTCTCTCTTGGAGGCCTTTCTTGGACTGCGTTTACGGTTTCGGTTCGCTTCTGAATATCTTCTCGTAAAGAAGGCGATACAACAAACGCAACTCACGAGGAATAAAACCACCAAAATTATCACTCCAAACATTTTTAGCAAAAGGATCAACGGATTAGTCCAACTGAAACAGCCAATCAAATACGGCTTCAACTCTCTATCTGAGCACTAAATATAGAAATGATTTGTATTTTTTAAAATTTCTATTCAATTGTATTAAACATTAGGCGAAGTGTTTAAGACCTGTTGGCCAAAGGTTTTGCCCTCAGGTATGAAGCAATAGTAGGGCCGACTGTACTTTCGGATCAACAATAGGTGTCCGACATTTGATCCCTCGCTGTAGTCGAGGACCGCATCGATGGTCTGGCGGTCGGAGTCTGAGATGTCGGCCACAAACGGAGGGATTTGTACTTTTAAAAGGCGACACAATTCTAAATCGACGTATTTTACTCCAGTTTCAGACACAACAAAACAGTAATCCGTTTTAGACTTCTTGTTGAGCACAAGAACTGAATCAAACGGTGGTTTGACTACCGGTGCGAAGACGGCTGAGTCCGCACTTGTTTTCAACATGAATTCTCCGTTGGCTTTCAGTTTGTTTGTGTCATTGCATTGAATGTCAATATTTTCTTTTGAATTCTTAAAGTAATTTGCATTTAATTTAAGTTTAAATTCATTCAATCAATACTTGTCTGTATTTAACGGAACAATTGTAGACAAAAGTACTTTTGACACCAAAAGCATTGATCGTTTCCTTATCAGTGAAACCGATTGATTTGTTAAACACTTGGATATCAGTCACTTCAGAGCCCTTCCATTTGATCTCAAAGAGCCATTCACTGCCATTCTTGTACATCACGTACTGATCCTTATAATCGTTGCCCTCTTTTGCCCATCGATGGTATGCCTGAATACCAACAAAGTTGTCGTCTTTGGACACAAACTCACAAATACTATGGCTTTGAACGCTATTTACGACCAGAATTAGCACTAAAACTAAATTCATATTTAAATGTCTGTAAATTACAAACGATTACAAAAGATAATCAAAAGTCGTGTAATAATCTCTAAAACTGACAAAAAACTCAAAGAAATATGAAATAACTGACAAAATATTCCTCAAAATGCACTCAATATTCAAATTGTCTAAAATATCGAGTTTTTGTTTTAATTGTTGTCAATATTTCGATACTTTATTTGAATTAAATTCAATAATTTAAACTAAAAACAAGTTTTTTCAAATTTATAAGCACTCGGTATATGAATACTATATTTTATTAACATCTAACTTATAAAACATCATTAAATTACAATTATTAAAATCAAATTGGTTGATTTACCAGTTTAAGACAGTTATGAAAACTTTTAGTTGAAATTTAAACCTCCACCATGGACAATTACTAATTTTTACCTAGACCATTCACGCGATTACTAACAATTAAATCTATAAAACAATTAAACCGATTAACAGTTGAAAAGTTTCACATAAATAAAACTTACAAATTAATAAAACAAATACAAACACTAAACACTAATTTTAGACACTAAACACAATTAAAACAAAATACACAATAAAAGTTACAAACCCTTTAGAAATCTGCAATAATTACTATACAATCCCTGTGTTTGTGTTGTTGTGACACAAATCAAGCCATTCAACACTGAAAACACGTGTGAATTAAATGAGTTGTGATTTAAATGGCATTCAATTGAATGACATTTACATTGAAATGAGTGAAAGTAATGCCATTTAAGACACGCTTTGATTACGTGTAAAACGTGTCCATAATTTGCACACAATTTGTGTCACAAAACACAAAACCGACACTTATTTTACTCGCCGAAGAACCTGATGGACAAGACAGAGGACATGAGCCGCTCAGTGGCCGCCACCGCCGAAGACCAGACCGACCCATGGCTGAGACAATTGATGGCCAACACACGCAACGAAGAGTACGTCCGACTCAACTACAAGACAATTGTCGAGTCGTTGGTCGCGAGACTGCTGGCCATCGACGGCCAGTTGGCCGGACATTACCGACACTATCACCAACTGTTGAACCAATTGATGACAACATTGGACTACAATCGACGCCATCCGTCGCCGCAGCGAAGTCTATGTTTTGTCGATACAGTGGACCGCCTGTTGGCGTCCGCTGTGTTCGTCACCGCCGCGGATCAGCTACTGATCACTGACGCCCTCAACGGCCAGAATCTGTTGATAAAAGCGGTGAAATGTCTGCTGAAAGACAGCCTCAGCGACCACTATAACAACGATGCGATTCTTCGCGTATTGGATCGACTCGTAAAGAGTTTAGACACGTGTCGGGAGTGTTTGGCAAAGACTGAGCCCAACAGTCATCAGGGAATTGTCATCAATCACTTGATCCTGAATACGATTCGCTGTCTATACATACTGTTGAATCGGTTCAAGTTTAACGTACTGTCACTGGATTTGAATCAATTCTGTGGCCAACTCTTGGGTCAACTCAAGTGCTTCTCCTTTTACGGCATCGCCGGCTATGACGTGTCAAAAGTGAGACAATCGGCTCTCTTTCCCTCACCTTTCGCTCAATTTAACGGTATTTTTGTGGTCAACGATCAGATCAATTGGTTTGCCGTTTATTTATACGTATTTTTCTTACTCTCTATTTGTCTCTTCAGATCTGATGGACAACGGATCCAATGAGAGGACCGGTTCTGTGAATAAGAAGAACAGACATAAGAAGAAGACAAAGAATGCCATCAAAAGCGAAGACTTGGACGACGATAACGACGAGACGATTACTCTGCACTCGGAGTCGGCCTCAGCGGTCAAATTGATGACATCTGATTCCGAGTTCTCGTCGTCCGATTACGAGTCGGCAGTTCACGACTTTGATGGCCAACGGATCCAACGCTCGGCGGCCATCAAAATACGGCTTATATCGTACGAAAGCCTATCGACGGCTGTCAACCTCTTTGACAAAAGGGTGATATTTGGCTTCTGGTCGGCGTTCATACAGTCGTCGACTCCCGGTTCGCTCCTGTGGTCAATACNATACGGCTTATATCGTACGAAAGCCTATCGACGGCTGTCAACCTCTTTGACAAAAGGGTGATATTTGGCTTCTGGTCGGCGTTCATACAGTCGTCGACTCCCGGTTCGCTCCTGTGGTCAATACCGCGCGAACAGTCGTTTCGGGTCCGGCTATCGGCGCTCAACTTCTTGCACAAACTGCTGATGACTGGCAATCCATACGTAACCACTTTGGCCGCCGACGACAGCGGCACTAAAGCCAAACCACTGTCGTTCACCTCATTGTCACAATCGTTGGCCCATATCGTGGCCGAAGTGCACACCGGACTCAACGCCATACTCTTCGCCGAAACCAATTCGGCTGTTTTGGTTCAGGCGTTCAAATGTTTGTCACTATTGGTCACAATCAGTCCGTATAAGAAACTCAAGAGTGGATTACTGGTGACGCTTTGCGACAAATCCCTACCACTCATGTGTCACAAAGACATTCAAATTCAAAACTCGTGTCTGGCGTTAGCGGTGAAAGTCTTCGAGTTGGACCCGTTTCCCGATGAGATGCGTGAGTGGATTGTGGCCACCGATGCGGGCGTGAAGACAATGAACAAAGTGTTGAAATTTTCGTGCGATTCTATACTCAGCTCCCAATCGATACTACTTTGCGGCGAATCCTTACGACTGTTGACCACAATTATGAAACAGAAGCCGATTGTCGACACATTTCTGGACCGTCAAGAGATCCATTTGAGTGACCAGTTGTTGATGAATATAGCGCTCGAGTGTCTGGAGATGGATGTGTTTGTCACAAATCTCGTCAATCAGAGTCTGTTTTGTAAATTCCTGTTTGTTTTGGGAACTAATCTCAAGAGAAGAGACTTATCGGAGACACAGAACCAACAGAAGAGTTGGTGGGTATGTGTCCTGAAGTCCCGTTTAGTGGATTTGGGTCTGAAATGCTCGGACCCGTCGATACCGCAGTCGACCCAATGTGTGATCATTGACTTTGTGTCCACAATCAGTGCCCAAGTGTTTGATTTGTTTGATCCGAAACTCAAGTTCGTTTAGTGGATTTGGGTCTGAAATGCTCGGACCCGTCGATACCGCAGTCGACCCAATGTGTGATCATTGACTTTGTGTCCACAATCAGTGCCCAAGTGTTTGATTTGTTTGATCCGAAACTCAAGTTTCATTTGATATCAATACTGATATCAATCGTGCGAAACGTGGACAACACCAGCGCTGAAGACCTGAACGCCCAGTCGGCTGCCATCCGATGTCTCGGTGTCTACCAGTTGTTCCCATCGATGACCGAAGACATCAACTACTTGTCAGACGTGGCGACGCTTGCGATCGAGATATTAGACATCTTCCGCGAGGCGTATCACCAGAAAAAGTTGTCTCATCTGTTGCTGTATCAGACGTCGTGGACATTAGCCAACTTCTGCGACATTATCAAGAAGTTCTACCTCCGGAACAGCTCCGAGATTACCGTCGAGTTTATGGTGAAACTCATTGAATCCAATGTAAACTGTTTTGATTTGCATTTCGCAAACGCCATGCAATCGGAGAATATTAAGACTAATTTTGTCCGTTCGTTGGGATCCGCTCTGTATGTGATACTGATTCGGGAACAAACCGGTGATCATCGGCGGCAGACATCGCTCGAGAGTGACCACAGATTTCGACCACTGTTTACCGAATTGATCGGTAAATTTGTGACCACTTTGAACGCGTCCAAGAATTTCAAACTCCAGTGGAATATCTGCATAGCGTTCGGCTATTTGCTAGAACTGGATCTGTTTCTCCAGTTCTGCAGATCCGATACACAATTGCCGAGAGTTAATACCGGTTTTGGTGATAATCAGACCGCCGATGGCTGTAATTATCAACTGATTGACTGTATTTTGGATACTTTGGTGAATGTGATGCAAACCACGCGTAACCATAAGGTCCAGTCATACGCGGTGTCGGCCATCTGTGCCGTGAATACCAGTTATCTAAACGATAATCAATTGATTTGGTTGTGGACTTTGATCGCCAACTTTATGGTCAATCACTTGTCGTCGGTTCCCGTGAATATCAGAGACAATTGGTTTGAAAAGTATTGCATTTCTATTAATAAACTAATTGTGAATTATTTTAACACAAATATAACAAGTGATGAGAATATTAAGCAAACGATTGAGAGTTTAATGAATTTCTTACAAAACGACTCAAAATTGATCACTAATTGCGAACAAAATCAAGAGTTTGTGATTAATTTGATTAAGACTTTAAAATCGTTGTAATTATTGTTGAGT